ACCCCCACACTGAGAAGAAAAAAAAAAAAAAGTAGATTCTAACTGCAGGGAGTCGAGAAAATGTTGTTCAGCTGCTGTGAAGTCAAAGCATAAAGATCAGAAGTCCATGGAGGATGAGGTATGCTAACACCAGCCCTCAACTGAGAAATGAAATGCTCAGCATGAACCCTGACTTTTCATGACAGGTGTCATTTTAGAAAAGAAATTGTGAAAACGAGAAAATAAAACACACCTTTGAAAGTATATCCAAAATGGCAGGGTCAGGCCTATTAGATTTCATAGGAGATGCATGGGAAGGCACAGCATAGGTAGGAGGAGGAAAAAAAACAAAAACTGCCAAAGTCCTCCAAGTCAAGAACAGGTTCGGAAAATGCAGGAGGAACCCGAACATTGTGGGGAAAAAATGATGCTTCACATAACGATCAATCTCCCAATGAATGATAGCTAAAAAATCCTCAGTTGAGACCTCCAGACATGAAGCCAGTAATGGCGTTCAAAGTAGTAGTAATAATATCAGAAGTTGTAAAACACAAACTTTGGAATTCATCTTAAACTGTGAAGAAGTTAAAAAGAAAAAGAAAAAAAAGCAATAAACAAAGGTAAGTTATTGTAGCAAACTACTACAGACAAATTAACTGTTGCAAGTAAATGAATCAAGTAAACCACTACTTTGCAAAAAAAAAAAAATGAACATGCGAAATGAGCACAAGTGTAAAACGTCTGCACTTGATCACTACCTAATGAGAAGTGATAGTTCGTTAGAACTGAATAAAGGAAGTCGCATGTGTCAGGAGGGTGTGTCACACTCCTATTGTTGGATGGTGATTTACATGTGAAACACAGTTGAAATATGTTGATCGTGGGAGTTCAAGGCTTGTGACATGCAAAAACATTTTTGCATATAGAGAGCAGCACTAGAACAAGAGGAACTTGCTACATGTGAGAGGGGGTAAAGTACCATATCAGAAATAATGATTAACTGGATTGCTGTAGACAACATCTGTGTTGATTTCACAAAACCTCAAAAATAGTCCAACCAAATAAAAATACTGATATCTAGTGCTTCTTAGCCTTAATAACTCTGCAATAACAAACACAGGGCAAACAAGGTTAGTGGCAATTAAAATTAAACCCAATACCCTCAAGTCAAAAGGCACTCCACCTATTATGTAGTTTTGTACTTCACAACAAATAAGCATAATGGCAATATTTCGATTACTTTGATAGTTGAAATAATCAAAAACACTAAAAATTGAAAATCCTAATTTAGATCAGCTAACTCTTTTTGTGACAACTGAGTTAACTGTAGTTCAGATTAATCAATTGTTGGAATAATCAAACAATAATTTTGATTAGTTGATTGTTTCTGTGACATTAATCGAGTTACTTGTAATTTCTATTATTCAATAATTTTACATTACATTAATTGATGTAATCAATATTCAGAGATAGTTGATTATATAAATTAATCAATTTAATCATCCAGCACTATAAATAAGGCAAATACTATACTGACAGCTCAAATTGGGATCCAATATAAACTATTTGCAACTAATTGAAATTGCTTATGACCATAAATTACTGTCATCATATTTTGTTCCAAAGTTGACACAATGTTATGGATAATGTAATTATACAGATTATCTACTGTTAGAATGTTTATGACTATGAAAGACTTCTCTTTTGGGAGAAAATCAGAAGCCAGAGGAAGAAGCTAGGAGATACAGATTCCCATTAATTACACACCCTGTTAAAGGTCAGATAAAAAAACATTCAAACTTACCATGAGGAGTACAAAACAGATTCAAAAGAATTATGTTTTCTTCTGGAACTCTATGTTCTTTCAGAACCTTCACAGCTTTAATAACTGTGTTTCCTGTACCTATTTAAAGAAAAAAATAGAATCTTTGTTCTGTTACATACTATCATTTATAATCTTGCATTAAACATAGAGATGTGATAATGCACAAATTCTATACTCACCTATACCACATCAGTAACATGATGAATAGTTATAATTGTTACAAAAATGAGGCAGTGACATTTATGACGATAGGTGGATCAGTGTTACACCAACTTTTTCATTTTATTCTTTGTGAAAGACTGAACTGAAAATTTATTTAGATGTATTAGTGATAACAGTAATAGTAAAATAATAAACTCTTGTTCGTGATAAAGATTTAATTACCACATTAATGATAAAATATAGAATTAGTTCTTCCATTCTGAGTTTGAAAATCAGATGCATTAAGTGCAATGTAGCACTCTTAACTTTTGGTTATTTCTGAATGAAGGCTTTCCTAAATCTTTATATTCAGCTCTATTTCATACAATAAACTATTTGTAACTGAGTATTCACTTCCAGTTTAGATGTATTCTGATTGATAGTGCAATTCAGATATTATTATAATAATCTTTACCACTATAATTACACTTGATTGTAATTAAGCTGGATCTCAAGCTGTTATTAAAATTCTGTTAGCTGTGATACTAGCATCTGATGAGATCAAAATCTATATTTCCTGTTTACAACTGATTTTTTAAAAGGGTGAGCATGTTTGGTGGGACAGGGATTCGAACCTGCAGATTGTGAGTAGAGCTCCCTAACCACCTGGCCATGCCGGGCCTCAGACATAAGTTCTGTTTTATTATCATTCTGCATTATTTTCTATTAGTTAAAGTCACTTAATTTATTTTTTTAACTCACAGGACTTTACAAGATGATTTCCCATATGACAATAGATAGTACTATTTTGGTTGTTTTATGTTAATATTAATTAATTAAATCTAAACAATTCTAAAACGACTTAATAAAAAACATATTAAGCATTCTGAGAAGACACAAAGATTTCAAAATTACATATTTTTCTCTCTTACTCTTCTGACACTATAAAATACTGTCTAAAATAAAACTTAACCACATGAAATCCTAAACACTGCTTTTAATACACAAAACTTAGTGATGAATAAAACAAACGATGGAAGGGAAACATAACCGAAGCAGTAGGAACTGGAGACTTTAGAAAGAAACAGAGAAATACACATCCAGAAGCAGATAAAAAACATGTAAGTATGAAACAAAAATGAGCTAAAAAATTACCAACAGAATTTATGTACAACATTGATAACGAAAAAGGCTAAGTGTAAGCTGATGGAGATATATAACAAATTTTACATCTAAACTTACTTCTACTCTCACTTAAGACTACAGATTACTCTACATTGATACAGGAGCTGTTAATTGCATTACCAATATTGCTTAAAGTTTTTAATATATATGTACTTATTTTCAATTTTTTATTATATATTTTTATCATGAGAATTATTTTGCATTGTTAGTTTCTGTGGGTTTAGATTTTGTTCTCAAAAGTAATGCACATTTGAGATCTTTTCTGCACCTTAATATAACTCGCAAATCTGGTTCCATCTTCTTACAAAGAATTTTTAGATACCTTTCATGATGTAATTTCAGTTTTCTTAACATTAATCCAGAACCAGCATCACTATTTAGAAATGGTATTTTTAAAACTTAAAAATCCACCAAACTTAAAGTTTCATCTCCTAGTTTCTCTTTTCCTAGTTTTGTGCTTCTCAACCTTTTTAGACCAAGAACCCCTAGTCAGACCTTTGAGCCAGCAGCATATCTCTGATGCATAAAATGTGCAAAAAAACTTAACATTGGTTTACGTTAATAAAAACATAAAAGAAAAAATTCATTGGTGAGTCATGTGAATATTGAGTGTTGGTACACGGAATATGTTGGTAGATCACCGACACTGATTTCCAGTTTTGAAGGAAGGGGTTTTATTTTTTTTAATGTTTTTAAAGGTTCTCATGTATCCCTAGAAAGATCTTGACGAACCAGTACCAAAGGTTAAGAACAACTGCACTAACTCATTGTGATATTAATTAATGATCTTGTATTTTAAGAACTTAATAGATGATCAATCTCAAAGTCACCATAAGTAGAAAAATATTCCCATTACACAGCCTTTATGAAAATATTTACAATCTTCTAAACTCAAGACACCACAAAATTCAGAAAATTATCCAAGATGTCATCAACTCTAATGTTCACTGAAGCTAGAACAAGCTTCAGTTAAAAAATCAGATTATGCAACATTAAAAAAGCTTGGTTGCAATAAAAGTAATTTGAGATAAGTGTTAGTATATTTCCTTAGTTATTCATATTGGTCATTCACTTCACTAAACTTCTGGCAACCAGACCAAGGAATGCATATAAACAGATAACAATATCCTCCAAAACAACACAATTTGTACAGAAAACAAGAAATTAGATTTGAAGTTTTTATAAAATAAAATTTTAATGTCATTGTTTAAAACCAATGTATATACACTGAGTGGTCACAAGTAAATACACCTAATTTTCCGTCATTTAACTGATTTATGCTAATTTGTGTTCACAGAGCACTATATAAATGAAAATGGTCCACACAC